TTGATAAATTTATTCAGCAATATTTTGAGTAAACAGTGTGACTGTGTTCTGTGCTGTGAGGAATCTTGAAGGCTCCTTTTTGTGCCTTTTCTCAGTCTCGGTAGGCTCTGTATACTGTCTGTACTCCCAATGTCTGACCTCAGCCTCCTTTCCTTCTGCCTGTGTACTCTGAGTCACCCCATCCATTTCCTTAGCTTTAATTGCTGACAACTCCCAAATCTGTTCTCCCAGCAAAGACCTCATTCTCCAGCTCCAGATGGTCCCAGGCATCTCAAAGTCAGCACGTACAAAATTGAACTCTTTTCCCTCTTTCATTCTTTGTGGGATAAAAGGAGAAGAAAACTGTAGAAAAGTTTTGGAAATCATCGTAAAGAAAAATTCTCAGAAATTAAGCCAGGGCAATGTCATTACGCTTTCAGTACCAGCATGAGGGACCGGTTTTGTATTTTCATTTTGAAATGAATACCAGTAAAACCCCTCTAATGGTGTGTTCTCATACTGGGTAAATAGTGGATTACCAAGATATATGTCGAGCTAGAGTGTAAACAAAGACTATTTTGAAAGACAGTTTGTGTGTGTTGTGTGTGTAATACATAACATACAACTCGTAAGAACTAAAATGTTATTTTTATATTGAACAGACACATTGTGGAGAAGAATGCAAAATCTCAGGAAAGTTTAAACTCCTTTCCTCAAAATGTAAGCACACAGACCACTTCTAAGATGAAAGCATCTTGGACTGAAGTACTGCGTTTATGCTGAGGAGTCAGAGGACAGCTGCGCTGTGCCCATGCATTTAAGGGTGTAGAGAAGGGCGCCTTCAGGGTACAGACATCACCCAGGGTGAACAATGGGGAATCAGCTTTGCAGGAAGTTCTTTTTTTCCTGATGAAGTAGGAGGAAACAGGGGAAGGGAGGAGTTATTAAGGAGAAACTCTCAGATCCAAGTTGAAGAAGTCTGTAAAACACATTGATTCACTCAATAGACACTTGATGTCAACTTTGTCTCATGTTCTTTACTGGGTGGTAGGAGAAATGAATTAGATGTGTTTTCTGCCCTTGAGGAACTCACTATTTAGTGAGGGATTCTAAATAATAGAATTATTCAGTCACTATGATAAAAAGTTGTACAGTGTGAAATTGGATCACTGGAAAATAAAGTTAAGAAAATAACTCTGTTTGTAGTACTATCAGGGTTGGAGATAATGTTCAGGGCTAGAGCATTTGTCTGGTATGTGAAAGAGCCTGGGTCCAATCCCCAGCCTAAAATACACAGGAATAAATATAATTAAGGATGTGAAAGATATGTACTTAAAACGTAGCACTGATAAAAGACATTAAAAATGGCATAGAGAAGTGGAATAGTGTTCGTGGACTGAAAGAATTAAAATTACTGAGCTTTAGAGTCCATGCAATCCCAATCAAAATACCAATGGCTTTTTTCTTTACAGAAATAGAAAAACAAAGATAAATTTTATAACCACAAAAAGATGACATATAGCCAAAATAATGTCAGAAAGAAAAAAATCTAGAGGCATCATTTTCCCAGGCTATATTACAAAGTTATAGCAACTAAACATTGGTGTGTTGGCATAGTAACAGAGACATAGGCCCATGGCCCAGGATAGAGAGCCCAGAAATAAATTCATGCATGTATAGTTTTTGTTTTTGTTTTTTTGGACAAATTTTTGTCAAATTTGCCTGGAGTGTACAATGGGGAAAGGAAAGTCTCTTCAATAAATGCTGTTGGGAAACCATATATCCTCAAGGGTAAGAAAAAAAATCAGAACCCTTGTTTTATACCAGACTCAAAATTAACTAACTTGGTTTTGTCATCCCCCACCCTTCTGTTGAGAGGAATGAAAACTGGGGACTCATACTTGTTAGACACATGCTCACCCCTGTGCTAAATTCTGAGCCCTATACAAAATTAGCAGAAAATATATTAAAGATAAATGAAAGTCCCAGAAGGACGAGGGTCCTAGTCCTAAGAAGACCAGTAAAACACCTAGAAGAAAACACAAGGATAAGCTTCTCCATATTGACCTTGCTAAGAAATTTTGGCCAAAACATCAAGGAATAGAAAAAAAAATAAGTCAACTGGATGATATTGAACCAAAAGGTTTCTAAATATAAAAAGAGCAATCACAACATGAAAAGGTAGCCTGCTGGAGGCAGAGGATATTCGTCATCCATGTACCTGATAAGGGACTACATTTTAAAATTAAGGGACCTCACATAACAAACAAAACAAAATATCTTGACTAAAGGGCAAACGTCATTTCAAGGACAAGAAAATAGCCAAGAAGCATATAACAAAGTATTAAACATCACTAATCTAGCTGGGTGTGGGGAAGCACATACATAATCTCAGCACTCTGAGGGCTAGCCTGAGCTACACAGAACTCTTGTCTCAGCAACAGTATCATCACTGATCATCAGTCTGACACCTTGAGTTTGATCGCCCAAACCCACAGAAAGATGGAAAGAAAGAATTGACTCCACAAAGTTGTCTCTGACTTCTACATGTGTGTCATGGCACATGCATATACATCTCTCATACACACTAATGACATTAAATGAGCAAACAAAAAGATGACCTTATGCTAGCCCTCTTACCTCTGTACTCCAGTGTCCTCCTTTCAGTTAGTACTTCGAAAAATGGGGAAGGGGGGGAACAATGTAAAATTTTGTAGAAACTTCTGGAAAGTCTTTGCTCTTATGGGAGGAATCACTATATGCCAGCAAAATGTGTAACTGTATTTTAGAGTATTGTTCAGGGATTTTGGGGTGTATTATTTTAATTAAAATTATCTTAATTAAAACAAAAAAGTCAAAACAAGGGCAAAAGAATAGGCTGTGACTGTTAGTGCCTAAGGGGTAGAGGAAACGGGGTGGCCTTAATCTTTTTCTTTTTTTGGTTCTGGCCTTTGAACTCAGGACTTCTTGAATGCTAAGTACACATTACCACAGAGCTCCACCCTATTCCTGGATCCAAACTTTGAGTTTGAGGATAAGTCAGTTCCAGATCTAATATACAGTATGGATGGTGGTCCATGTGGTTAAAAGATCAAGTGAAGAGTTTGGACCACTTGTAATAATGTTGAGCTTTGCTTGAGGAATTCAGAGACTATATAGTAAAAGAAGCACCACTTCCTTGTTTGCTAGTGTAGAAACGTATAGGTGTTTTCTGTCTGTGGCTTGGTTACAAATATTCCAGGAAATTAGAACATGGAACGTGTGGGAAATTAATTAGACATATGTTTACATTCTTGACAATCACCACCAGCATTTAAGTCCCTGGAGAGGAAGGAAACTTTTTTTTTCTTTTTAAATAGTCAACAGTGTAGTTTAACATCTCCACACAAAGAACAGTTGTTTTATAAACCTCAGATTAGAATATGGTGGGGTTGAGATGTGGCTGGATCGGGCTGTAGCAGGATTGTCAATGTAATGTCTGGATTTTATCCAGCAAAGGCACTGAAAGGCTGAGTCCAGTAAAGGCAGGTTGTAATTCATTACTAGTTTGTAAAAGGGAATTGGGATCAGCATTGCGTGTGTGCACAAGTGTGTGGAGCCCAAAAGTCAACTTCAGATTTTTTGAGACAGGATTTCTTCCTTAGCCTAGAATTTATGCTTTGCTTGGCTGGCTGGCCAGTGAGATTCTACAATCTGCATGTCTGTGCTCAGCACCTCCGGCACTGGGATAACAGGGTATACCATAACACTTGGCTCCCCGCCCCCCTTAAAATAATTTCTATCACTGGTACATGTGCCAAGGCTTGTGTGGGTAGCTGTGGAAGTCAGTTTTCTATTACATGGGTTCTAGGGATCAAATTGAGGTTATCAGGCTGGCAGCAAGCACCTTTACCCAGTAAGCTATCTTCCTGGCTTTTTGTGGTTTGTGATATACACTCTGGCTCATGCTTGACAGCTGGGCACTTTAGCCACCATCTTTGCCCCAACCCTGGAAGCAGCGCTGTTAGAAAGTGGTACATATTTGTAAAGGATAATGTTTTGTGGGGATATGTAACTATCTTTCTTAAACAGAAATCTTTTTATTTTATGGGCACTGGTGCTTTGCCTTCATTTATATTTGTGTGAGGGTGTCAGATCTGGAACTGAAGTTACGGCTGTGAGCTGCCATCTGTGTACTGGGAACTGAATTCAGGTCCTCTGGAAGAGCAGTCAGTGCTCCTAACTGCTGAGCCATCTCTTCAGCCACTATCTAATTTATATACATTCTTGAACACTGTGTTCTGATACAAATGTTTTTTCATCTGAGTCCTAGTAAAACATTTTTTTTTTTTTTTTGAGAGGGGAGAACACTATTTTAGTGGTACAAAGTTTGGTGTTTTAGATTGCTTTCGGTAGCAATTAAAAAAAAAAACTCCAGTCTCAAATGGCAATAATCAACAAACATTTAATTATAACTAGGATTACAGTTTGGGAGCACTTTGGTTTTAATCTGCCATTCTCATTGTTGTCTTCAGCTTAATGCCCAACACTACAGGGAACTGTAATGCAATGTGGTAGTTTCAGTGCATTGCAGCTGCAGACGTTATCTGTTTGACAAATGAATTAAGGATTGGGGGTGGTCAGGGCCACCTGAACACTTGTGTACAGATTTGTAGGTAAAAGTGGAGTCTCTGGGTGGTAGGGACCAAAAAGTGAAGGGAGGAGACTTTGCCAGGGAAACCACCCAAAGGTCTGCTGTTTCTGAAGTCAGAGGCACCAGGTAGGTTGAACACCAAGCAGATGCCCGGTCAATAGGCAGAAGAAGGAATCTGGTTCTGTCCCACAGAAAATGTGCTACAGAGACCCACCAGGTCACTAAAATGACCAGGGTCCCATCACTACAGCCTTGTCTGGGGCTTCCCACGAGGGAGAACTGCATGCTTGTGAAAGGAGACAAAGTAGAACATGACTCCACTGAAGATAAATGGTTACCGGGTTCATAGTGCTAATGTTTTAGTAAATGTTACATTTTTTTTTTTTTAAGGTGGGTGAGACACATTACCTGAAAGAACTGGAACTCAACATAGAGACTCTTTCAATGCTTTTTTGGCCAGATTATTAAGGATTCAGTGTCCCATACCATTATGAGCTCCCTGATGGCAGATACTTCACATTTGGCTGGGGCCAGATTTATTGCAAACATACTCAAGCCTGCCTATCTCTAGTGTGTAAGGTGATGCTGGGGACTGGAAGACGCTTAGCAAGTACGTGTGAAGCGGACAGAGATGGCTCAGCAGGTAAAGGCAGTTGCCATTAAGTGATGTCCTGACTTTGATACTTAGGAACCTCAGGCTGGAAGAACTGATTTGGGAAAGCTGTCGTCTGGTCTCCATCGGCAGTGTGATAATGCATTTCCCCTCCCTAATAAAGTATAAAAAGTTTAGGGAAATATTAAGGCTCCAAATGAACATATTTTGGGGGTTGAAAGTTGTTGGGAGCCCTGTCACAATTCACCTGCTGCTAACTTCAAGATTTGGCTTTAAGGGCTTTTCAGAGAACAAATCTACCTGGGACGCATAAAAGATGTAAGCAGAACAGGGAGAACTCAGCTGGGACCAGGTGAATTACTCTCAGCAGCTGTAAGGGAAACAGGGCCAGAACAGTTCCTCACTGAGCTGTGTCCTTCTGCGTCAGCAGTGACCCTCCACCTTCTTTCTACCTCAGGCGCCGAACAAGTGCTCAGGTCAGCAGACCTTTAGGATCTTCCCGAGACTCCCCAGTCAAGTCTCTGCGTCTACAGAATGGCAGCCAGGATGAATTATATCCATAGTACTCAGTAGATATAAACAAGCTCTTTGTTTCTCCCATGACCCAGCTATTCTGAAACCGGATTTCCTCTTTCTGGGTTCCCACAGAGGTTCACTTCCGACAACAAAAGCTTCCAGGAAATCCCCAGCAGGCTTAACTTTCTAATGCTTCACTCTCCATCACCTTCCTCTTCACACCCTCCACCAAGAGGAAGGAACTTATCCTCTGAAGGTCAACATCCTGTCAGCTGCCTACACCCCATTCTATGTGCAGGGTGGCGGTGCATCTATTTGAGTCTACATTCAAGACCCATTCAGAGGTTAAGGGAAACACATAAATGGAATGTGTGACCTCGCCAAAAAACAATGCCTGCGGTATCCCCCTTCCGTTTTAGGGGTACCAGGTTATTTAAAGCTTCCCTTACCGAGGTCTCACTGCTACTGATCAGGAAGCAATCTCTCACAGTAGGCTGTCAAAATACTGTCAATGAGAGGGAAGAGGCTCAGGCGGCTTCCCCCTTCCTGTAGATCTATAGGCTACCAAGGGAGGGAACTTTCCTTCAGCAGAACAGCCACTGGTAAAATACCCACGCTCCTGTAAGCAGGCCTAAAGAAACTCACTGGAACACACACACACGAAAGTGGAAGGGGGACTAGGTGAAGAGGAACAAGACAGAACGACGGTGTGTGTGTGGTGAATAAGACCAAAATGCACCATAACTTATAGCATAAAAACCAAACAAAAGGAGCTAGGCTGGAGAGATGGTTCAGTGGTTAAGGGCTTTAGTTGCTCTTCCAGAGGTCCCGAGTTCAATTCCCAGAAACCACTTGGTTGCTCACAACCAGCTCTAATGGGGTCTGATATCTGACACCCTCTTCTGGAATGGAAGCATGCATGTAGATAGAGCACTCATACCCCAAACAAAAATGAGAAATCCCAAGGGGTGGGTCTCTAAACTGGGTATCAACCACAGTCATCACAGGAGCTAGTTTGGAATCAAGAGATACAGGGCCCACTGAAATAAGTGTTAAGATAAGCAAACCAAATCAGGCAGTGGTGGCACATGCCTTTAATCCCAGCAATCACAACACAGAGGCAGGCCAATCTGATCTACAGAATGAGTTTCAGGATAGCAAGGATTACACAGAGCAAACCCTGTCTCAAAGAATAAAAAGATAAGCAACTGGCCCTGTGTGGTGGTGACACTTGAAGGCCCAGCACTGGGGAGGCAAGGATAGGACTGCTGTATGCTGGATGCAGCCTGGACATCAAGACTCCCCTTCCCCACCAAAAGGCAAAGCAAAACTGGACCCAAGATTCAGAAACACAAGCTGTGAATTTACTCTCTTAGGTGGCTGAGCATCTGGATGCCTCTCGCTTTCCAGAAATCCTAGGAGAAGAAAAGAAAATCAATTTCATATTTTCACATCAAAAATTTATCTACTGTGCAGAGAGGATGATGAACCAGCAAGGTCTGGGCCCCATACCGCCGTTCCACTTGACAAAGCTACTTCCAGTTCTCACACATCACAAGAGCTCCACCTCTGTGAATACACTTATGAGAGTCGCCCACTCTCCAGCCCCGGTTAAGTCTTTGGTGTCTGAACTGTGTGGGAGCTGTGGAGACTTGCTTCCCGGTTATGGCGCAGGTCCTGCTGCAGTCCCAGTAGCAGCTGGTTTAGGAGAGTAAGGTTGCTGTCTCTCTGACGTACAGGCAGGGGTGGGAGGCAGTTCCCTTTATATTCGATCACTGCCATCTTGGCCCGATCTTGCTCCTTCCGATTTGGGATCTGCAGCATTCGGGTGTAGCTCCCATTCTGACCTTGGAACCGAGGCGCCAGTACTTTAAACAGCTTTGGGATCAAGTCCTTCTCCTAGAAAGGGAGAATTAATCAAAAGGAAACAGTTGCAACTGTAGAGGCAATCTAACTTTCAATTATCCCCAGAGGTAGGGTTCAAACCATTTTCACAGGTTTTCCCCACCACCCAATCATCTACCAAGTTACATAGAACCATTTACAGGTAGTTGTGCGGATGCACATTGTTTTCCAGGTGAAATAGGGGAGACACTGGTACATAAGCGAACAGCTTGGCTTAAATCTGCCCGGCACCCGGTCCTCTAAGGATTCCTTCCCCAGCAGCAGGCAGGCAGGGAGCACTCACAGTGAGCCAGAAGTCAGCCATGCGCATGGCTCGCTCGTTGGTGTCTCCTAGCTTCGCATAGTCGATGAGCTGTTGGGAACAAAACATCACCGATACAACACGTCCAAGACCTGAGTCACCCACCTCAGTCCAACCATTCCACTAGCTATGCTAATTCAGGACGTTCCTAACTCTGCAGCCCTAAACAGCCTTCATCTGCAGCATGGGAGTAAGGTGCTCAGTTGGGTGCCACGGGATTCACTTCCGTGGAGACGCTTGCCAGCATGGCCCTACTCCCCACCTACTCCCCACACACGGCCACCGCCGTCCTCTGGGGCTGGACCCGTCTCTCACCTTCTCCGCGTAGCCCCTCATCTCGTCCACGCGTGCCCATGACGCCTCGATGCGTTCGTGGCGCACCAGGCCGGTGAGCAAGTTCCGCAGCAGGTGGATGCGAGACTCGGGGCCGAGGCCCAAGCGGCGGTAGACGCGGCCGTGGGAGACAGCGGCTGCGAGCGACAGCCTCATGCTGCCACCTTAGCCCCACCTCTCAGGGGGCCGGAAGGGGAAACTGCGGCGGCGAAGGGGGCGGAGGCAACCTTCAGAGGACGCCTGCTCAGAAGCTCGGCGCGTGGCGGGCGTGTTTGCGCACGCGCATCTGAGTCTGCCTAGCTGGCAGTCTGCGCGAGGGAGGAGCAGGCGTGCTGACGATTCTAGGGCGGCAAGCTGGGCGGGCCTCAGGGTCGGCTCGGTGGCTAGCCGGGGACCTCGGCGCCCTCTGGCGGGTTTCTCTTGGGCTGCGTCAGCCGCTAGGCCGTTCCGGGCGGAGCGTTCTGGGAAAGTGAGTTTCTGAGGAGACCTGCGTCTGAGGGGTGGGGCCTCGGTGGGTTGCGCCCCTCTTGTCTGAGGCGTTGGTGGCTTGCTGGCTTTCTGAGAATGTCTTGTCTGAGGAGTTGCTGGTTTGCTGGCTTTCTGAGAATGTTAGTTTAAAACCCAGTTTTCATTAGTGAAAGTCGCAGGTATTTCACATTTAATTGACGTAAGTAAAATTTTAAGTTAGCTATATAGTACTAAAAGCTAAAGTAATGGATAAATACTTAAAATTTAAAAAAAATTATTCTCATTCATTACATCCTGACCACAGTTTCCCCTCCCTCCACTCTTCCCAGACCCCCAATATCCTCTCCACCCCAAATCCCCCCCCCCGAAAGTTCTAGGAACATCAAACACTGCACAAGAAGATACAGTAAGGTTAGGCTCAAACCCTCAAACCCACATCAAGGCTTGGCGAGGCAACCCAGTAGGAGGAAAAGGATCTCAAGACCAGTCAAGAGTCAGAAACAGCCCCCACTCTTCAGCACCCCCCCCAAAGAAAAAAAATCACCAGTCCAACAGGTCATTTACATATATGTACAGGATCTAGAGCAGACCCATGCTGACTCCATGATTGCCACTTCAGTCTGTGAGTCCTTATGAGTCTTATTTAGTTGATTCTGGCCTTGCTCTCCGGGGATTCCAGAAGCTCCAAGGGGAGGGGCCCAATGGAGTCCTACTGGGTTCTCTGTCTACCTAATGTTTGCTGGTGCATCTCTGCATCTGCTCTCATCAGTTGCCAGAGGCAGCCTCTGTGATGATGACTAGAATTAATCACTGATCTATGAATACAGCAGAATATCATTAGGAATCTTTTTATCGATTACCTCCCCCCCAGTTATATTTGGTAGATGCTTTTACTTAACAAAATTATTTTCTCTCTGTGTGTATTCTCTCCCATATGCCATGCTAACCCAACATCCTTCCTGCTCTGGGAACAGGTTTATGGGAGGAATTGGGTGAAAATACAGTCTAGCTCTAATGTCTAACAAAATGATGATCATATTAGGGGCTATTTAAAATGAATGTGTTGCAGTTGGAGTTACTAGAAAACTGAGGGCAGCAGTAACAAATAAAACAATACATTTCCAATGGAAAGAAGTAAAATTTAAGATTGTTTGATTTTAGAAAAATAAGTTTCTGGTCATATACAATATGAAGTTGAGGTGGCCCAGAGCTAAAGAGGGACCGGAGTTTGATGGGATCACCATAACCCCTCACATGGTATTTCACTTTGGAAATACTGACAAGCCATTTCTAATTTGGCGTGCACTTCATGGTGTTCTGTCCCCTCCCTGTTTCATTTCCATGTATTATTAGTGAGGTGAACTGCCTGTTGCTGAAATTGTAAGGTCATTCAAGGTCAGAAAGGAACGGATTCATGCATGTGGTCTTCTTTCTCTTGCCTCCACCATCAAACCAGTACTCTGTTTTTCTCTTTCTCTCTTAAACCTTACAGTTTTTTTAAAACACATTATTTTAAAACTTCTTTGGCGAGCTGGGTGGTGGTGGCGTACACCTCACACCTTTAATCCCAGCACTCGGGAAGTAGAGGCAGGTGGATCTCTGAGTTCAAGGTCACCCTGGTCTACAGAGTGAGTTCCAGGACAGGCTCCAAAGCTACAGATAAATTCTTTCTCAAAAAACAAAAACAAAAACAAAAACAAAAATTTCTTTGGTGTCCCTTGATAATTTCATCTTTACTTAGAAGAATTATCTTTTCATTTTTCATTTGAAAGAAAATACCTTATTTAGCTAGGCTTATTGTTAGCTTTCATCATACCTCAATATCAAATATTTCGTTGTTGTGCCTCTATGTGGTACATGACCTTTCACTGCTGGGTCTAAATTATTAACCAGGGCTCTTAGGTCTATTTCCAATTCAGAAGAACTGTTTGTAGACTCTCTGATTTGCTTTTAATCCTTTCTCTCACCTTTGCGGATGTATTTCTTCACCACTAGAAAGTGGGATTTTCCTTTATTCCCTACTGACCCATTTTAGAAATCCTTGAGTCAGACAGATAACCTTTTAAAATTAAGTGTGTGTATGTGTGTTGTTTTGAAGGCAGGTTCTCACATGTCATGGTATGGATGTGGATGTATGAGGACGAAATTCCAGAGTCTGTTCTGTTCTTCCACCGTGGAATCTGAGTTGTCAGACTTGCAGGACAAGCACCTTTATCTTTTGAGCTACCTCACTGCCTTGCAAATTGGCCAAGAGTAAATTCTATTTGTTTCTTTTGAGACAAGGTCTTTCTACTCTGTAACCCAGGTTGCTCCAAGATTCACTCTGGAATCCAGATTTGTCTCAAACTCGAGATGCTGAATTGGCAATCTTTCTACCTCTGCCTACAGTGTACTGGGATTGCTGACAGAACTACTTTGCCTGAGAAGCTATGATTGATTATCTAGTCCAAGGATCTAGGCATAATTTATACATGTGCCCAACTTTAGCGAAAGATAATAGTTTTTAAAGTATCTGTGACACTTTTTCTAGGTTGGAAAGAACCCAAATGCTAATTATTGGTAAAATCAATGCAAAACATCAACATATAGATCATATAATGGAAAATTATGTATCAATGCAGATGAACTAGTGCAGATCTCATCTAATAACATGGTTAAACACAAACATAATATACAGTAAAGGAATTCAAGTACAAAGGACAATACTGTATTATTCAATTGCCTGTTTAAAACCAGATCTGATCTGTGGTGTTAAATTCCAAAGGACAAGTGATTAGAAGAGAACATGGGATAAGAACCTGGAGGTACTGGTCATGCTCTACAGCTTGGCCTGGATGGTCCTGGAGTGTGTGACTTGTCACAAACTCACTGAATGGCACATGTAGAATTTGCACATTACTTTCACTATAACCATTGTATTTTAGTTACAAATATAAAAGAAAATATCTATACCCTTTGTAGTCTCTGGCTCATGAAGGTTATTCTCTGAGTATGGTATTATTAATAAGGATCTTTAAAGATGTCTATAGCTATGTTGCATGAAAAAATGACTTTGCATATGCTATTATTGGCCTATCACAACAAAGCTGACTCAGCTATATGGTGGTGTCCTAATTAGAGTTACTATTTCTGTGATGAAACACCTAAAGCAACATGGAGAGGAAAGGGTTTAGTTCAGCTTACACTTTCAGGTAACAGTCTATCACTGACGAAAGTCAGGGCAGGATCCTGGAGTCAGGAGCTGATACAGAGGCACTGGAGGGGTGCTGCTTCCTGGCTTGCTTCTGGTGGCTTTCTCAGCCTGCTGTCTTATAGAACTCAGTATCACTAGCCCAGGGATGGCCCCCACCCACAATGGGCTGGGTCTTTCCCTGTCAATCACTAATAAAGAGAATGCTATACAGCAAGATATTATGGAGGCATTTTCTCAGTTGAGGTTCCCTCCTTTCAGATAACTCTAGCTTGTGTCAAGTTTGACATAAAACTAGCTTTTTTGTCTAGCTTGACATAAAACTAGCCAGCACAAGTGGATCCATTTGTAGAATGGGGGATGTAGCAATAAACTTGGGGTCCTGCCGCCAGTATAATCCTTTCTGTAGTGACCAAGCTACCATGCTAATCAATTCAGCAGGAATGTCCTGCAGGATACTTAGATGGCAAAAGAGCTGTGGCCTAGTGCCCAGCAGATGGTGCTCTGACAACGTAAAAGGATTGCAGAAGATTTGCGCCTCTTAGGGCCAGGAGATTGCATAGATCACATTCTCTCCAAGTCACAAAGACAGGAGCAGGGAGGGAAAGGGAGAGTCTGAGTGAACAAACATTATTTTATCTGATAGAAACTTAATCCATTCATGAATATATACACCCAAGATGTCAGACTGAATTAAATTTAAGCTAGATTGAACAGCTAGTGTTTTTTCTCTTGTTAATCAGTGCACGGAGACTTGGGCCGAACACCAGATTATAGAATAGAGAGAAAAAAATGTTCTTGTACATTATTTTAACTTTAGTTCAAAATTGCCCTTCTTCAAGGCTATTGACCTTCCTTCCTTCCTTCTTTCCTTCCTTCCTTCCTTCCTTCCTTCCTTCCTTCCTTCCTTCCTTCCTTCCTTCCTTTTGCAGGTTTTTAGATGAAAGGATCAGAGAGTGCATGCCAATTGATCTTTGCCTTGCCCTCTCTCCTCTCTTACTTGTTTCCTGATTTGTCTTTGAGTTTTGCAAAGTTGGAGGGATTTGAATTTGTATCAATAGCTTTCTTAAATTTATGTAATTGTCCCTCTTCCTTGAAGAGAATGGTCTCTAGGTTGGAGGGCTTCTAATAAAGACCCCCATTAAGTATGATGTGTACCAAAGGTCCATTAAATACAAGGTTCTGTAATAGATACAGGGTACATGAAGAAGAAAAATCTAGCCTTGTGATGTATACTGGGAATAAGAGAAATAGGGACAGACTGTTATGACTATCATTGCAGAAAAAGTTGCTGAGATTGACTTTAATACTACTTTTACCCCTAGACTTATATTCTATGACACCCCTGAAGTATAAGCTATTATTTCTTTATTTTTTGCCAACATTTCCATCTCGCATTTAAATGACCTAACCATATTTTAATCTGTTTTCTATGTTCTTACTATGTATCATTTGTATACATCGCTTGAAAAAGATCTATGTTTAAGTCACATTATAATGTTCTGAATCATGGCCAGGCTATGCATTTATAG